TTTTAGAGGTCCAGGAACTTCCTGCAAAACTGTTTCTAATAATGTGTCCAATAGCTCACAGGTCTGATTCCCAATAACAACCTGCAGTATTTAAAATCTTGTTTGTTTTGTAATTTAAAATCATAAATACATACAATTATACACTTTTATCTGTAGAAATGTACCGTTAGAGGGTAAAATCTGACCACATACAGAATGTAATGATGTTTTAAAGCATTATCTGGGGCAGAATTGCATTTAAATGTAAATAAATGCTGATGTTGAAGGAGGTTTCTGGTATTCTGTGCTGCATTGCTGTGCTGTAGCTTTTAGACTGGAGCTGCTCAGCCTCAGTCAGTGACTGTCATCATGGAGGAACAGCAGACGACTGGAGCCGAGTGAAGAGGACGAAAAAACGTTGCATCCTTCCTCGGTTTCACCTGCTTATTACTCTAAAAAAAAAGGTAAGAATAAAACACCTGAACCTATCATTTTTATCGATTACATGGCTTTTATTTCCCTGCACAGCCGACGGTTACATGTTACATGTTGTGTGCGGATTATGTGCTAATGAGACCTGGAGGAGACCGAGCTTTAGGAGAGAGGCTGCTTTTACTGGATTACAACAGTCTGAAGGGGGAATAAACGTTTGAGAACCGGTGGTACCGTGTGTGTGTGTGTGTGTGTGTGTGTGTGTGTGTTCAGCACCGCGGACAGCTCCGGAGCTTCTGGGGGGGGGGGGGGGGCCTGACTGTCGGCCTCTATAACCCCCCCCCAATCTCTCTATTCTCATCTGATTTCAGGTGATCGCTCCACTGAAACAGCACCGGACACACCGGAGAGGACACAGCGGGCAACATGAAGCATTTCCTGAGGTAAAGAGAGACTCCATTAACCGCCACTGATTTACATATTCTGTGGAGGAATCTGTGTGTGTGTGTGGTGTGTTGTGTACCACTCATCAATCGATGTCAGTATCTAGTGGCCATGAAGTGGGTTTGTTTGTGGGTGTGAACTGGTTTTAAGTGTTCAGAGAGGAGGCCCTCTTTAAAGGCAGGGTGGTCTCTCTCTCTCCTCTCTCTCTCTCTCTCTCTCTCTCCTCTGTCTCCCTCTCTTTCCTGGTTGAATCTTTTATTAAATAATCCCTGGTTTTTCCCTTCTTCTATTTTTTATATGATAAACCATCAAAATTATTGTTTTTTAAGAGTTTCCAATGCCAGAAAAAGAGTTTTTGAGTTTGAAAATGGAAGCAAAGATTATTTTTGTTTTATTAAATGAAATTTTAATGTAAAGTCTGAAAAGTTCAAAATCACTTCATAAATTAAATCAAAATAAATATAATATAATTAAAAACAAATCTAATTTAAAGTTTTATAAATATAATATATATATATATTAACATTCAATGCTGAAAAATTCATTTAAAGTTTTCCTCCTCTTCTTTCAAAAGAGTGAAAGAAAATAACGGTGGGTTGAAAAAAGCACATTTAAAACGCTCCAATTTTCTAGAGCCAGGGTCTTCCAAAATCTTTTAACATAAAGGCAATAATATAATATAATGGCCCCTTTTTATTATTCTAATGACACAGGTTTAAATCTAAATGTGTACATAGGTGTGTAAATTAGACATAAAAAGGCAAAAATAACACAAATAAATAAATATATAAACACACACTAGATTCAACCACACTGTCTTTACAGTAGAAAATATGTTAAATGTGTCGCTGTCTCTTTTTATTTCCTGTTTATTTACAATTTATTTCTGTTTATTAAGGAAAACATTAATTGTGTGACTCCACCTTCATTCAATGTTGCCAGTTTGACTCTTTTAGCAGCTTAAAGTCTAAAAAGCTGCCAGCGACTTCGTCTTTTTCCCCCCATTGGAACTTTATTTATTCTCTATTACAGGGAAATGTATAATTGTAATTAGTAGGTGTGTTTAAAGTGGAGGAGCAGGTATTATCTTGGTCTTTTACCTACAATGTTCATAAATATCACAGAACAGTTGGAGGATCCACGATATTGAAAAAATGGTTGAACATACAAATAGGATTTTAGATAAATGAGCTAAAATAGAGTAAAAACTGAGGGAAAGCAGTGGAAGATATTAAAGAATACGCCCCAAAATTAATTAAATTAAAGACATTAAAGTGTTAAATTGTGATTTAAGTGGTGAATAA